GCCTTGGTGGCACAAAGGTTAAACACTTAGCTGCTACCCAGCAGGTCAGCAGTTTGAACGAGCCATCTGCTCTGTGGAGAAACAGACCTGACATCTGCTTCTATAAAGGTAACAGCTCAGCAAACCCTACGAAGGAGTTGTAGTACGCACCAGAGGGTCATTACAAGTCACAACTGACCCAAAACAAAACAAAAACCACGACAGTATCTTTGTGAATGAGGTAATATTAGCCAGGCTTTAGAGACAACAGAAGAAACACAGAACTCATTTCAGACCATCAAAGAGAACCAAACTATACCTCAGATGGAACCCCTATATTCTTATTTCTCTTCTACACTCTCTCTTCTTTTTTTAAGCCCCACAAGCTCACTTTAAGTCTCTGTCAAAACAAATCTCTAGAATATAGTTATTTAGCTGAGGTGTACAGACAGGCTTCATCCTATGGAAAAGCCTCTTAAAAATAACATGCAAATTTTTCTTTACTCACGTCTATTTCTTAATTTCCTGTAATGAATTCATATTGAATACACATTTTTTTAAATGGCAAATTTTTTTGCTTCCTTGTTATTGTAAAAAAAAAAAATCCCCATTTGTAAAGAAAAGTTATTAAAAAAAATGCTAAAACTCTCCAATGGTCTCACAGTCTAAATAACAAACTTGGTACTTTTGACTCTTTGCAACTGAGCTCTGATTCTAGAGTAGATGTTAGAGTAATGGAAATGAGAAACTGAAGATATTAAACGGTTTAAAAGGAAGCTCTCAAAACGGTTTACCCTACACCCTTCTAGAATTAGACCTGAGAATATTTTTGGCAGGTTAAACAAAGAAGTTAATTATATCCTAGAAAAAGAGTATTACCCCTGTTATTTGTAGGAAAGTCTAAAATTCACAGTATGCTAATAGCAATGTGAAGTTTTCCAACCCCAGTTCTGTAACAAACTGGGATTCCTCACCACAACCCTTTGTGTCAGCGGTGTTGTCACCTCCCTTTGTGCTAAGAGTGTTGTCAAGGATGCTCTATTTTATTTTTTTTTTTAAAAAGGACACTCTTACCGGTGGCAACGAATGTCGCCCACATTCAATTGTGACGAGTTTATGGCACTTCTTATGAACTAAGAGTTTGCAGTTGATGCACTTATATCCCTGGCGTCCGAGTCCCCATATCCGATCAGTGCAGATGGCACAGTGAGCACGCTGGAAAGAATTGACAGTATTTTAGTAACAAAAAGGCTGATCGTTTTGTAAAGTCTCCTCATAAAACAGTGAAAATAACTGCTTTCTTCTCCAACTCAATTCCCATTGTGTCAAAAGACAAAGAAATCTTCCCAGTCAAAGTTTTCAAATCTATGACAGTCAGGGGGAAAAAATCAGATTAAAGAGAATGAAGACTATTAACCATGTTGCTTCCTGTTTTATACGCCAAGATTTATATCAAGATGTTTCAGTCTTCATACAATTAAATTAAGATCAATGAAAGCAGGAAAAGTTAATGAAACTTGGAAAACAAATGGAGGAGAAATTCGTGCAATGGTAATGCCCGAGCAGACACAGAACCTTTCAGCCTGTTTTGGGGTCAAACCAAAATCCTCACTCTCAAGTGTCTTTTCATTTTACAGCCCTGGTAACATCAGTGCTATAGGGAAGAAAAAGAGTTTCACTTCAATTTATATTAATGAATTTAGAACATGGCATTAAATTCAAGATGAAAAAGGCGAAAGCTACCTAAATTTGTGGTTACCAAAACCAGATGAAAATATAGGCTCCTAGAGTCAGAATTAGTGAGACTGGCTCAGCACAGGGCAGGGCTCAGGGCTGCTGTCCACAGGGTCGCTATGCACCACAGATGACTCAATCAATATCATTCTATGACAGGTTTGGAAGCAGGAGTGACATCCACTTCCTAAACCACATACCTCTGGAAACTCTATGAACTGTGATAAATGTCGGTAGTTGTAGAGGGGATTTAGGCCTTTTGTTCATAGGGTCGTTATGGGTCATGCTCGACTCAAAGGCAGTCAACAACAATAACAACAACAACAGAGACAGAGTCCCTGTATTCAAGCCCCGGCTTTAACTGATGAGTTATATCATCGTGATCAAGTTATTCAACTCCCCAAACCTCAGCTTTCCCTTCTATGAAATGGAAACACACAGCACGTTATTTCACAAGTCCCTATGATGATACATGAAGCCATATACAATAACTGGGAAAGTGCCTTGTACAGCTTGGTAAGTTTTCTTTTCTAAAAAATTAAAAGGAAAATACTGCATTTTTTTTGGCTACTTAGTATTTGAGGTACCTTTCTTCTAGCGGGCTAACTTATTACAGCGGAACCTGGTAGAGCTGAACTCAGAACTGGCTTTTTGATCTTACTAGTCTCCTGCCTTCAATCAAGTACGGTTTTGCCACTTTTATAGGATACATTTTAGTGGAAAATATTTGAGTTCTCTTTCTCTGAAGGGTTTCTCCCTTACTCAGATAACAGCTTTTGCAGGTTTTACTGTATTCCAATATGAAACATTATTTCAGAGTGAAAAAGACACTGTTAAAAATCTCTGGACTACAGGAGAATTGCTTAAAGCAAACTGATCTATTGTATCTAACCTACTTCATTAAAAGGAAATAACAAGACTGCCCTTTTTTTATATTAGCAATTAATAAAATAGATATCTCAAATTATAAACAAGTCAAATTTACCCTGTTGAAACGCTTCGCTTGGAAAGTATGGCCATTTGCACAGTAAAGCTTTCTCCAGCGGCGGGCACCTCGGCGGTAGATGGATTCTGAAGAGAGATTTAAGTTTAAAAAAAGAAGAGTATGAACATAAGTTATTATATAATTAAGTCTATGATTCTTTTCATGGTATTTTTTTGCAAGGGGAAAAAAGGTCCCTCAAAATACCAAAAAACTCAACCTGGAAGAGTGAAATACATGCTACCAGAGACTAGATAAAAACTAAGTCCAAGTATAAATGTTTGAACATCTATTACTGTCTTCCTCCCTAAAATCTCTTTTTATTTCTGGTATTATTTTTAGTGCTGTTTATTTTTTTAGAGTTGTTTTAAATTACAGAATTACACAAAAGGTATGAAAAGTTCTATTCCGCATAGTTTGATCTATTATGAACAACTCACATTTCTTAGAACTGATGAACCAATTTTAATATATTAACTCAAGTTCAGTTTGCAAAAGGGTTCAATCTTTGTGTCAAGTTCCAAGTTTTGATAAATGAACAATGCCAAGTAACTAACCCCACCATATCATGCAGAACAATTTCACTACCTTTATTTGTGTGTGTCGGGGTGTGTGTGTGTGTGTGTGTGTGTGTGTGTGTGTGTACCGTCAAATTGGATCTGACTGGTACAGAAGGAGACTGTTCCTCCTTCTTCCGCAGAGCAACTGGTGGATTTGAACCACTCACCTCTGGAATTGTGGTACAGCTTCTTGCCACTAGAGCACCAGAACTTGCTAATTTCATTGCCTTGAAAATGCCCTCTGCTTTACTCATCTGTCCTTCTACAACAACCGCTGACCTTTTCACTGTCTCGTAGTTTTGGAACCACACAGTATATACAAGGGTCTAAACCTCCATCATGCATTTTCACATTGAGATATCTCATTCCTTTTTTATTTCTGGCGAGCTCTGGTGGTCTAGTGGAAAGAAGCTGCACTGCAATCCCAGAGGCGAGCAGTTCAAATCCACCAGATGCTCTGCTGGAGAAGGAGGGACAATCTCCTCCTGTACTAGTCAAATCTGATTTAACAGTACACACACAAAAAATAATAAAATAAAAAAAAAATAGTTCATTTCTTTTGATCACTAATACACCACTGAAAACTGTATCACAGTTCCTTTATCCATTTACTTACTTAAAATCTTCCAATGTATTCTAATTTTTAAAGAACATAAAGAAGACTTATGCGACTGAGTTTACGTAGCATAGCGCTCTTCAGTCTCTCACAAGGTATGTAGTATTTTTTTGAAATCACTGCTCCTGAGTGCTGCAATAATATTCCATTGTGTGAATGTACATTTTCTTAATCCATTTGGTTGTGAGCAGACATCAGGCAGTTTCCATGCTCTTGAGATGGTAAATAACACTGCTAAGAACATTGGTATACAAATATCTATGTCTCTATTCCAATTCCCCTGGAGTATATTCCTTGTAGTGGAATAGCTGGGTCATGGAGTTTCTATGTTCAATTTTTTTTTCTTGCAACTTAGTCTCCTAAGGACAAATACTGCATAAGACCATTACCGTAAAAACAGAAGGATAACTAGTAAAACATATATGAGGGCCCAAAGGGAAAGGGGTGAGAGCAGATGGGTGAGGATGGTACCGGCAAAATCACAGGGTTGAACAATTTGCTGGTAGAGGGAGGGGGTCAAGGAAATGGGAAAGATCCAGCAGGGACCAGAAAAGACAAGGTAATGATGGGCACGGTTCAATGGTGATTAATTTTACAAAACATAATGCATGCTGTACACCAATGTTCACAGCAGCATTATTCACCATCACAAGAACATGGAAACAGCCCAAATGTCCAACCACAAACAAATGGACTGACAAATTATGGTACATTCGCACAATGGAAAATATGCAGCACACAGGAGCAATAAATTTATAAATTATTACCTAACTTGGGAAGGACTGGAGAGCATTATGCTAAGTGAACTAACTCAGTCCTACAAGGATAAATATTGTATAAAACCGTTATCGTAGAATGAGTGTAAGGATTCAGGAGGGGAAGGAGAGGCTGGAAGCAGAGGGATGTGGATGTGCAGGGGGAAGGGGTGATTAATCATTGGGTTATACAAGTTGATTGGGGAGATGAGGGAAAGGAAAAGAATTTGTTCAAACTTGTATTTAAGCTCTGCAAACAAATCAGTATAGAAAAAAAAAGATTACAACAAAATAAAACTCGAGTTAAAAAAAAAAAGAGCAACCTATAATGAATGCATGGGAATGATTGTATGAAACACAATGTGAATGGAAAAATAGTGTGAAACACAGTGTATAAATGTAAAAATTTTTAAAAAAGATTCTAAATAAAACTAAGGGGCTCTGATGGCTTCATGTTAAGGAATCGCACTGCTCACCCAAAGGTATGCAGTTCCAATTCACCAGCTCCTCTGCAGGAGAAAGATAGACGATGCCCTTCATGTGATATCCTGCCTCTAAACCCCCACTGCCAGGTCTGCTACGGCTCAGTTCTGACCTGCAGGTCTACGACAACCACAACAACTATAAAACAGCTATAAACATCTTCCTTTCAATTTCCCCCCCACCTCAAATTGTCCACAGAAATACAGAACAACTAACAACTGTGTATCATTCATTTTACATCCTAATCAGGACTATGCCAGATGTGCTTTCTTCTGATTATATCTTTATTCCCCTTGAGTCATTTGAAAGTAAGCTACAAACAGCTGCATTACTATTACGATGTCTCAAAAAATTATCATTAACTTAATATCATCTCCTAAACTCTTAAAGCGTCCACAGAAAAAAGGATGAAAGCATAGTACTTTTATCCCAATAGAGAAAATGGTCAAAATGCAGGCTTGCATTTGGTTATGTCTTCTCTATCTTTCTAATGCATTCTAAAACATTAAATCTGCCTTTTTCTTGTTTATTTTCATAATATAGGCTTCTTTAGATTTTATTTTATCTTGTGTGTGTATCATCAAATCACCTCTGACTGGTACAGGAGAACAATGTCCCTCCTTCTCCAGCATAACATCCGGTGGATTCAAACCGCACAGCTCTGGGATTGCAGTGCAGCTTCTTGCCACTAGACCACCAGTTGTTGTTATGTGCCATCGAGTCGCTTGCGACTCATAGCGACCCTATGTACAACACCCCTAAACTCTGCTCTGTCCTGTGCCAATCGCACTGTCTCTGACACTCCCATCCCGATTACCCCAGTCACTGAATCAATCCACCTTATAGAGGGCCTTCCCCTCCTGTGCTGTCCCTCCACCCTCCCAAGCATGATGTCCTTTTCTAAGGACCGGTCTCTCCTTACAACATGTCCAAGGTATGTTAGACGAAGCCCCAGAATCCTTGCCTCCAAGGAGCTGCCTGGTTTTACCCTCTCCAGGATGAATCTGTTTGTTTTCCTAGCAGTCCATGGTTTCAGCAAGCAGGGTTGTGTCATCTGCATAACGCAGACTGTTGATAGATTTTCCATCAATCCTGACACCACATTTCTCCTGACAGAGCCCAGCCTCCCGGATAATCTGTTCTGCATATAGGCTGAAAAGGTATGGAGATAGGATGCATCCCTGGTGTACGCCCTTCCCAATTTTGAACCATGCAGTGTTCCCTTGCTCTGTTCTGACGACTGCCTCCTGGTCCAAGTATAGGTTTCGCATTAGAACAATCAAGTGTTCTGGGATTCCCATTCTTCTCAGAGTCAGCCACAGTTTGTTATGATCTACACAGTCAAATGCCTTTGCATAGTCAATGAAACACAGATAGATATTCCTCTGGTATTCCCTGCTTTCAGCCAAGATCCATCTAACATCAGCTACAATATCTCTAGTACCACGACCCCTTCTAAACCCAGCCTGGACTTCTGGTAGTTCTCTATTGATGTGCTATTCCAGTCATTTTTGGATAATCTTCAGTAGAATCTTGCTTGCATGTGAAATAAATTATATTGTTCTATAGTTTCCACACTCTGTTGGGTCACCCTTCTTTGGGATGGGAACAAATATAAATCTCTTCCAGTCAGTTGGCCAAGTGGTTGTTCTCCAGATTTCTTGGCACAACTTGGTGAGCACATCCAAGGAAGCATCTGTTAGCTGAAATATGTCAACTGGTATACTGTCTATTCCTGGGGCCTTATTTTTTGCCATTTCCTTCAAAGCAGCCTGAACTTCTTTCCTCACCAGAGCGCCCTCATAATAGAGGCTTTTTAAAGAATTTTGGCCATTACAGAATGTATCAAGTTCTTAATTTGTTGGTTTCAAAATGTTTTTGGCAAAAATATTACTTAGATAACCAACCTGTCACATGCTGATTGCCACTACTGGTGTTTGATCATAATAAAATGTAGCGACTGCTAACTCCCTTCACCGTAAAGGTGCATTTCATTTATTGTAATCAATCTAGAAGTTAAATTTTGTAGACTCTTCTGTTCCCCAACAATCTTTTATCCAATAACTTTTATGTTAATAATTTTCTCAAATACACTTGAAAAAGTTTCGAAAGACCAAATTTAAGCTCATCTGCTTAAGTCTGGTAAAGTTAAATAAACACTATTAAATTTATTCACGAATATATCTTGCAAAGGGTGCAGCTAGGGTGCTCGTAAGGAGGAAAGAAGGACAAACTGAGTCTCACATACTCTGGGGGTGCTGTGAGGAGAGGCCAGGCCTTGGAAAAGGATACCATGCTCAAACTGTGGAGGGTCAGAAGGGGGGGAAGATCTTCAACCAGACGGGCTGACACAGTGACGGCAGCAACGGGCTCCAATGTGGCAGAGCTGAGGAGCATGGGAGGGGGCAGGACAGGAGTCAGATCCACTGTGCACAGGCGGCTACCTGAGTTACAGTCAAGTCAACGGCACCAAACAATCACAACATTCTATTTATTGCCTCATTAAATGCTCAATGTTAATATTACACAAAGATTCCAACTGGACCCTAGATATTTTAAAAAAGTTATAGTATTGTGTTTAGTGTCTAAAATGAAGATTAGAAAGATCTGCCTCAATGTTCTGAGTTAGAAATAGTGAGATAGTGTAAGTGGGTAAGGAGTTGTGCTGCCAGCCCAAAGAAGTGGTTCGAATCCACCAGCCACTCCAAGGGAGAAAATCAGGCAACCTTCTCCTGTGTTAGTTACAGCCTCTGAAAGAACACTGGAGGGTCCGCGATGCGTTGGTCCCAATGTAAAAGCACAGAACAACAACGTATCACAGAAGTTTGCATATAGATGCTTTAATTTCCAATCATTTAATTTGTTAGCAGAAGTCAATGCAGAAAATCTGTTAACAGTGTTTTAAACTAAAAGAATATCCACTTTCAGAAGCTTTTTTATTAAATACAACTTGGAAGAAGTTAAATAGCAATGAGGAGATCAAGTTGACAATGTTGTTTGTTGTTGTTTATCTTTTAGCCTGAAATGACCCATAACCGACCCTCCAGCAGATTTTGAGAAGCAGTTAGACAGGAACCTTAGGGGCAGTAAGTTATGTTTAAATATTTTACTAGAGAGCCAAGAGACAAAGGAAGGCAGACCCTCGACTAGGTGGGCTGACACAGTGACTACTGCAATGGGCTCCCGTGTCAGGATGTGGGAGGATGGCACAGGACAGAACAGGGTTCAGACCTTTTGTTCACAGGGTCGCAATGAGTCCTACTTGACTGGACAGCATCAAACAACAAGAGACATTATTGATTATTCTTTTTCCTCTATATTCTAATTCCATAATATTTATACTGAAATGGGAGAGTGGTATCAAAACCTCCACTAATAAAATTAAAGAGGGAAAGTAAACAGGAAATACAGTGAAAAACTATGATCAATTTGCAGATGGGACTGAAACCAAGGTCTGCTAAAAGGACAAATCTTATAGAACTCTGGCTTCACAAAGAAAGAAGTCAGTGGCTTCTCCATCAGCTCTGTGAAAGCAGCATTTGGCTTTTTCGCTCCATACCCCACCCCCAGCCCTCAGCAGACACATGGTTTAACCAATCTCCCAGCAAACCCCAATGAGAAATTGGCAGTTCTTGCTGTCATGCTGGTTCTGACTCCTGAGAACCCCACGTGGGCACAGGCGAACTGTGAGCCTCAGAAGAGCAAAGGGTAGATTTTGCCTAAGGATGCATCTCAGAGGACAAAAAGGTGAGGAAAGGACCAAGGAAAATGAGAAACACAGGGGGCAGTGGAAGAGCTGTGACAATGTGGGGACTGCAGTTAACACCACAAAACATGATGCATACACATCGCTGAATGAAAAGCCAATTCATTCTGAAAAGTTACCAAAATTACAATAAAAATTTGAATGAAAAGCCAGTTTGTTCTGAAAAGTTTACCAAAATTACAATAATTTTTTTTTAAAAAAAAAGTTACTGTTCTGATTTCCCCCGTCATTTGTGTCATGTTATAAAAAAATATCAAGCTAGTTTTAACTATGACATATAATATGACGTATGATATGACGTATAATATGACATATAATATGACGTCTGACTCACTATCTTCTCCTGGACATGGCATTCCGGGGCGTTCTGGTACACAAGGGAAGACTGAAAAAAAAAGAATTCAAATTAATACAGCATATATTAAAACATATTAATTATAGAATTAAGTGCAAATTACATGGGCTATATTAACAGAAAGGAAAAAAAAAGAACCAAATTTTGCCCTTGTCTGATCACTGTGACTGAAAGGTATTTCTGAGATGAGAAAAAAAGAAATAAATTTGAACCTGATCCTTAAATACACAAAGTACTATAGTGCATAACAAATCTGAGAGGCAGCAGGGCAGAATGAAAAAGAACACAGATTCGGAACAAAAATACCTCATTTCACAAGGTCTACACTGTTGCAGTTATGTGATGGGTGAGCTGAAGTGTATTCTTCTCTATCACTATCCATCTCTCAGGGTGACCGACCTTCAGATAGACTTGCATCTATGAAATACTATGTCAACAGCCTCACTACAGGGTCTTAAATGAAAACACGCCTTACCAGATGGTTATGTGCACTTATTAAAACTGCAAGGAGATGCCTCAGGCTTGCTACACTTCATCTCAAACTTTGATGAGAAATCATGAAAGGCACATTTTAATATCCTGGAAGGCATTTCTCAGGACTGGAAGCGGTAGAGGGAGCTCAAGTGCCCCGTCCGGAGCGGGACGCTCTACTAATCAGAAGGCCGTGTCTCCAACCGGCTGAATCCACCAGATGCTCCAACGAGAATGGTGGGCAGACCGCTCATGTTAGGACTTGTTGTTGCTGCTGATTAAGGTGCGCATGACTCATAGTGACCCCTCTACAACGATCGACACTTAGCAAAGCCCACAGAGTTTGTCTGATACTGTTTGTTGTTGTTATTGACTGCCTTCCAGTCAAGCACGATGCATAGAGACCCTATGAACAAAAGGCCTGAAGCCCCTCTACAACTCTCGACATTAATCAAAGTTCACAGAGTTCCCAGAGGCATGTTGTTTAGGCAGTGGATGCCACTCCTGCTTCCAGAAACAAAACTCAGGGAATGTTAAATTAATCCTTTACCGTGAATTAGGAGTTCAGAATCCTTGTTGAGCTCATAAAGCCTAAATGCTTCTTCTAACTCCAACTGAGATGACACCGTGCATGGGTCTCCTAAAAAACACAAAGCAGAAAGTTTACTTCTTAAAAACACTAAATGTAATGATTAATAAACAATTTCTGTGTAAAATCTTGAGGAAAAAATTTTATTTATTTATACACACACACACACACACACACACACACACACACACATACATAGTCTCTAAGATCTAAAGCATACTGTTACTGTTTCCATCCCTCTTGTAGAATTTCCTGTTCTCTCTCACCAAGAAATGCTGGTCTCTTTATATGTCCATTCTTAGCCTCTCATAAAACGAGTATCACACAGTATTTGTCCTTACTTGCTCGGTTTCTATCACGAAGCACTGTGCTCTCCAGGACTATCATGTTCCAGTATGCTGTGTAGATTCATTACTCTTTCTGTTACTCTGCTGCGTGTATGTACCACAGCGTCCCTATCCATCAATCCGTTTGATGAGACTGTGGTGGGTTTCCATTCAAGCAGCAATGCCTATGCACGAGTGAAGGGGCATATGAGCAGGATTACTGGATAATAAGTTGGTAGCTGTGGCTGTCAGGTGCCACCGAGTTGACGACAAATCATAGTGAGCCTGTGGACCAAGTGTAATTTTGCCCTGTCTTGTGCCTTCCAGACCTCTGAAATGCTCTAGTCCGTGGTTATAGTCACTGCGTGAATCCATTTCATAGAGGGTCTTCCTCTTAATCTGACCTTGGACTTCTCCCATCATGATGTCTTTCCCAAGCCCTGCTGACAACACGTCCAAAGTATGTGAGACAAAGCTTTGCCTTCCTAGGCTCTAAGGAGCACACTGGTTTCACTTCCTCCAGGACAGATTTGTCTGTTCTTGTGGCAGTCCATGGGATATTCAGTATTTTTCCCCAACATACAAATCAAAGTTAATGATTTTCCGTCATCCTGAGGCACTGTCCGACTTTCAGACGGACGCAACTGAAAACACTACAGCTTGGATCAGGCGCACCTTAGTCTTAAAACTGACATCCTTGTTCTTTAGCACTTAGAGAAGTCTGCAGATTTTCCAAATGCAACACCAATTTTGATTTGTCTGTTGCTACCATGGCTGTTGTCTGTGAATCCAAGTAAAATGAAATTACTGACAACTTCAATCTTTCCTCCATCTATCATGATGCTGTCTATTGGACCAGTGGTGAAGAAGATTTCTGTTTTCTTTATTTTGAGATGTGAATCCTACTGAAGGTTGTAGTCTTTGATCATCGGCAGCAAGCGCTTCAAGTTTTCTTCATCTTCTGCAAGCAAGGTTGTGTCACCTGCAGAACACAGGTCGCTAATGAGTGTCTCCTTCCAACCCTGATGCCATCTTCTGCTTCTCCTGGTGCAGCTTCTCCAGTGATGTGCTCAGCATACAGACTGAGAGGGATGGAGAAAGGATACAACCCTGACATACACCGTCCTTCATTTTAAACCACACAATGTTCACTTGCTCTGTTCAGAAAACAGCTTCTTGGCCTAGATGTAGGTTTTGCATAAGCACAAGTAAGTGGTCTGGATTTCCTTTCTTCTCAATGTTGCCATAATTTTTTATGATCCAGAAAGCCAAATGCCTCTGCATACTCAATAAAAGACAAGTAAACATCACAGGGTACTAAAATGATGTTATTCTTAATACTGTATAGATTCAAACACAGCAAGAAGCATCTACCATGAATACATTGTAAATCACCACATTGTTACGAATATGTATGGACACTCGTTTCTTTAAAAGATAGGTGAAAGTAATCCTTCTCTGGTATCAGCAGCAGCTAGGCTGCCCCGGGATCATTATTTAGATTTAGCTCCAGACTCTGCCCAAACTTTCCTTCACACAAGAACCTGCTTAAACAGGTCACAACATGGAAGTGTAGTCACTAAATGCTCGAATGACCCACAGTCCTACTGGAGCGGCTTTTCAAATAAACGCACAGTCCAGTCAACACTCAGAGTCATCCTGGGCAATCAATGCGGTGCCACGTCTTCCTGGATGACAGCAGTATCCAGTCCAGCCGTCACCTGGACATACCTGGGGCCTGAGCTGTGTTTTCCGTGAAGCCATTATTTTGTTCATTTATGTTCAAACTTTATCACATAAGAAATACCGCCCACTGCCAGAACTCAATCACTCTCACAGAGAACTCAATCTACTACTTGAGGGGGAAGAATGCAGTCACCTCCCTCATCCCCCTTTCTGCTGCCTCAATGACGTGAATGCAGATCACCTCTACTCCTGACTCTGACCTTGGCCAGTGACTCTGACCTTGGCCAGTGAGGCCTCTGTATTCTTTCTCTACCCCTGGGCATTTATTTCCCTGCTCCTTCTTTGTCCTATTTCTATTTGTTCCTCTTTCCATTCTTTCTTCTCTGGCAAACACGTCCGTGTCTCCCTGCGCAAACGCTCCTCTCAGACTGACATTCCATTCATTCAGCAGCCACATCTCTAAAGAGTAAATGGACCAGTGAGACTGGAATTGGTGAGGGGAAAAAACGACAAGAACACAGTCTTAGGAGTTTGGGGGTTTTATTTTCATTTTACATTTTTATGCGGTTTATAATTTATTTGCAATATTTTATAAAATAGGTTTCTTAATATTAAGAATTGTTCCAACATGCAATCTCTCCATGTTCTTATTTTCCACTCATTTCTCAAAATGCTACCATCAGGTTTTAATTCAAACATCCTACTGAAATAGTACAGCCAAAGTCCCAAAAGAGCTGACCTCATCAATGACATTCAACTCTCTACTCTAGTTGACGTCTCTATAGCTTCTGACAAAGGCACCCACTATTTATAGAAACTCCGCCTGTAGGCTTCTCCAACACTGTTCTAGTTCACCTACACTTCTTTTTAACATTTGCTTTTGGAAATTCTCAGACATTAGACAGTTTTTTGTTTCACCTGATCCCCTTCCACTGTATTCTTCAGACCGAATCCATGATGGCATATAACAACAACGATCATAATATTACTATTAACCTACAAAAATTGACAATTCACTATAAAGCATCCAGATAATAACTTGCTGTCCTGTTAAACTTTGCCACTGCTACTGGAGTGCGATGGTACCTCATTGTGATTTTGATTTGCATCTCTCTTATTGCCAGTGATTTTGAAGATTTCTTCATGTCTCTGTTGGCCATCTGAATATCTTCCTCTGTGAAAATGCTTTCCATGTTTTTTGCTCATTTTGTAATTGGGTAATTGCTCTTTTTCTTGTGGAGGCCGAGGAGTATTCTGTAGACCTTTGTTATGAGACTCTTGTCTGAGTATTGCCAAATGTGTGTTCCCAGTTGATAGGTTTTCTTTTCACCCGTTGGAAAAGGTCTTTGATGAACACATGGATTTAATCTTTAGAAGGGCCCATTCCATCAATTTTAACCTCTTCATATTGTGCATTTCTAGCTGTATTAGGCAGATTCTTTATACCATAGACTAGTCCGTCTAAGCTTGATCCCAGTTTGTATCTTAGGAACTTTATGGTTTTTGGCTTTACTCCCAGGTCTGCTGGAGAGGATGTGGCGAGAGAGGAACTCTTATACATTGTATACATTGTTGGTGGGATGGTAAAATGGTACGGACAACTCTGGAGAGCAGTTTCACATTTACTCAAAAAGCTGAACAAAGAAATTCCATGTGACCCAGCTATTTCACTACTTGGAATATACCCCGAGAGTATGAGAACTGAGGCACAGAGACTCATACACCTATGTTCATAGCAGCAATATTCACAATCCCAAGAACATGGAAACAGTCCAGATATCCAACCACAAACAAACAGATTAAGAAATTATGGTACATTCACACAACGGAATACTATGTAGCACGCAGAAACAATGATTTTGTAAATTATTGCCTAACTTGGGAGGGACTGAAGAGCATTATGCTGAGTGAAATAACTCAGTCCCATAAGGACAAATACTGTATAAAACCATTATTGTAGAATGTATATAAGGGTCCAAGGGGTGGAGGGTGGAAGCAGAGGGGTGAAGACTGGAGCGTTAACCATATGATCATACAATCTGATGGAGTGGGGATGAAGGAAATGGTAAAGTTCCTGTGAGAAAAACATGTATTCAAACTGTGTAAATAAATCCGTATAATAAGAACTTTAATAAATATTGATAATTACAGAAAGTCTTTGGGCCTTTTTGTTCATAGGGTAGCTATGAGTCATGTTCAATCAATAATAATAATAATAATAATAATAATAATAATAATAATAATAATAAAAACAAATAAACAAGAACAAGATTTCCCAAAAGAAAAAGTTCTTTATAGTGTTTCCCCCTTTTAGATGTTTCTTTTTTAAAAAAAATCCAGATAATATTGACATTTCCATGATTATCTCAATTTCTTTTGTTGTTACGTGCTGTTGAGTCCACTCTGACTCATAGTGACCCTATGTACAATAGCTCTGAACCCTGCGCTATCCTGGGCCAATCTCGCTGTCTCTGACACATCTATTCCCATTGCCCCAGTCACTGTGTCAACCCATATCATCACAGTCTTCCTCTCTTGTGCTAACCCTCCACCCTTTCTCCAAAGACTGGTCCCTCCTGGAAACATGTCCAAAGTATATCAGACCAAACTTCTAAATCTTTGCCAAGGCGCAAGCTAGTTTCACACTCTCCAGGACAGACCTGCTGGTTTTCTTGGCAGTCCATGGTACGTTCAAGACTCTTCTCCAGCACCACAACTCAAAGGCCTCAATTCTTCTTTTGCCATCCTTAGTCACTGTCCAGCTCTCTAAGCATAGCAACTAACTGTGACGATCAGGCACACCTTAGTCTCTAGACTGATATCACTGAAATTTCTTTTACTGTTTAATTTTGTGGAATGATTGAATCAAAGCCCAAACAATGTCCATTTTATAGGTTTTACTTTATAGGTTTCACTTTATAGGTTCTGTGTCCTTTCACTCGTTATACATTTTTAGTTTGTTGAAGAAACGGGGTTATACATTTCATAGTTTTCTCATCTCGACATAGATATTTGCATCCCTGTGAAGTTATTTAACAT